ATTCTCATCTCTATTGTTGATGATTTGGTGATTTTTACTAATGCTAATAAAAGATCTATTAAGTATTTTTGGGAAGCTATTATTCATTTTCAAGATACTACGTTTAACACCTCTAAATGTTTCTTTTACTGCTCTAAACAGACTAATGCTAGTAAGAAGAACTGGATTTCTGATTTTACTAATTGTAATAAAGGAGAGCTTCCTTTATCTACATGGCTTTTAGTTTGGATAAAAAAAGCAGAAGAAATCACATTTTCGATAGTCTGTTTGATAACATCAGAAAGAAAATTTTGTCTTGGGAAAATAAATTTCTCTCCTTTGGAGGTAAAATTACTATTCTTAAAACCATTCTCACTTCTCTCCCTCTTTATTCTATGCAAATCATGAAAATGCCTAATAGTTTTATCAAATAGCTGGAAATGCTGCTTAATAAGTTTCTGTGAGATATTAATAATAAACACAATATTCATTGGAGAAAATAGGAGAAGCTTCGTAAACCTCTTGATAAAGGAGGTTTGAGTTTTCGAAGTATTGTTGATACAATGAAAATTAACTTCATGAAGCTTTGGTACAGATTTTGAGGGAGTAATTCTATTTGGGTCACTTTGTTGAAAGCTAAATATTACAATTTTGCTCAATCTCTGGCTGTTAGTGATTCCAAATATGATTCTTTTATATGGAAAGATATGCATAAAGTTGCTAGATATACTGAGAACTTAATATATTGGGATGTTGGTAAAAGAAATTGCTTTCTGATATAATGATTGGTTGGGTAAAGGCTCCTTAGCTGTTTTTTATGGTAGTCCTCAAGACATCAATATTAAATTTATGGATATATGGTGTGATGATCATTTGGATAGGATGAAATTGCTTCAGATTGTATATACAACTGATGTTGATTTCATCAATAACATCCCTATTAATAAAGATCAGGAGTATTTTCCTAAAATCAAAGGAAAATTAGGAGAGGCTGTTTCTAAAACTTTTGCTAATTCTTTTCAGGCTTTTCAGGGTGAAGATATGAAGTGGCTTTGGAATAAATGGGTCAAACCTTTGCAATCCTTTTTTCATGTGGAGAGTGTTACATAGAATTATTCCTACTGATGATATCTTGAAATTTAAGAGACTTAGAATCCCTTCTTATTGTTAATTAGGCATGATGATTAAAGAATCTTTAGATCACATTTTTGTGAAGTGCAAGTTTGTTGTTGATGTGTGGGAGAAAATTTATCACTTTTTTGGCAAGAAGATAAAAGAAGATGGTTATAACTCCGTGAAGGAGATTTGTGATGTTGGAAAAGGTAAGGGCATGCTTTCTTTTCTAATATCCCTATTTTGATTTTATGTTTCATACAGATTACTAGGAATAATTGGAAACATAATAATATATTCCCTAACAGTGTTGATACTTATTTTATGATTATTAAATTTACCTTGAAGTGTTTATCATTACACAATTACAAAGGTAAACCTCGAAGCAACATTGCTGAATTTATTTCTAACTTAAATTTACCCATCTCTAGGACTGCTAGAAATAATAACTGCATTTTGAGGTGGTGTAAATTTGTTGCTCCCTTTATCAAAATTAAGTAGTTGGAAGAAGGATGCTACTGGAATTGGTAGCATTTGTAGGGACAGTTTTGGTGTTGTTATTTGCTAGTTTGCAGCTAATTCTATTCCAGTCTCCTTTGTATGCAGAAGCTGATGTTGTTATTTTTGGACTGATGATTGCTAAAAGATTTGGTTGGAGATACGTGAATTTAGACTCAGATTCTTTAATCCTTTGGAATTGTTGCCGGAACAATGCTAATTGTCATTGAAGCATTACTTTACAAATGAAATGGAATGTAAAGCTCTCTAAAGATTTGGAGATATGTCGGACGCACACTAAAAGATATGGAAATGATGTTGGTAATTGGGCTGCTAAAGTGGGGACTAATCTCAATTTTATTGTTATTTCTAAATACTTACCTATGGATCTGCACTTACTTCGCTTACAAGATTTGGCCTAATGTTTTCTTACTGTTTTTCTTTTTGAATCTATAGGTGGGGTGAGTTGTATTTTTCTTTTTTAGGGGGAGAAGTCCCTAAAATTAGGTTTAGTAGGAACTTCTTGCCTACTTTTGTAATTGTTCTTTGTGTGAAAAAAAATTCCCTACAAGGTTTAATAAAAAAATATACTATAACCTACTAGAAATTCCTCATAAAGAAGAAATCTGAAACTGTACAAATCTTTCGATCCTTCCATAACATGCTCAATTCCAATGCAAACTTCAGATTCTCAAAACTGATAATGCAAACACCTCAACTCTATTCCCAGACCTTTCCTTGTAAAAAATGATATCATCCATATGAGTTCCTGTGTTGAGACCCAGCAATAAAATGGAATAGTTGAGAGAAAAATTTGAGATCTCCTCGAGGTATCTAAATTTATAATGCATCTCCCAATGTCCCAAAAATTTCCTGTGAAGATATCGTGCTCACAATCACCTAACTTATTAATAGAATACCAAGCAGGATCCTTGTTTCAAACCCCTCTCGATGTTGTGATTGAGAAATACCCTCAAGTTAAGCCTTACCATCCAATCTTCCTCAAAATATTTGGTTGACTCATTTGTTTACATTCACCAACCAAACCACACAATGCTTGAACCAAATCCACCAAATGTATCTTCCTTGGAAATGCTTCTTACAAAAAAAGGTACAAGTGTTATTCTCCCATTACAAAAAAAAAAAAATATTATAACTAGTCATCACAACATATTCTATTTCTCTCTAACCATCTTGTCTCCCAAATTCCACCACTTAAGAACATCCAACCTGAAATTGACAATAATGATTTTTCCAAGGAATTTCGTGTGTATAATAGGAAAATGAAATTCACCTAGTAGGATAAGGGCAAGATGCAACTGCAAAACTTTAAATAACCAAACTTGAATTCACACATCTCTAAAGTTCCAAGGGAGGTGAAATCCAATGGAGAAGACAGGAAAAGTTGCACAAATTATCCTATCAAGAAGTATATTATTTATGAGAGATTATCATAATCTTATAAAACTTTTGTATCAAATATTAATAGTATATATATACCCAAGTCTATTCATGAAGCACTTTAAAGTCAAGAATGAAAAAAAAAAGTTGAAGAAGATATCCAAGCATTTGATCTAAATGGCATGGGCCTTTACAAAGCCTCCTCCAGATAAAAAAAACAAGTTGGGTGTGGTGCAAATGGATGTTCAATGTCAAGTACAAAGTAGATGGCAACATTGAGAGATTCAAGGCAAGCTTGGCGGCCAAAAATTTCACTTTGTCCCCTATGGGATAGTCTATCAAGAGGTCTTTGAGCCAGTGACCAAGTTAAACATAGTAAGAGTACTTTCCTTGGCAATAAACATGGAGTGGGAACGGCATAAACTTGATATCAAGAATGCATTTTTCAATTGAGACCTTGAGAAAGAGGTGCATATGGAGATCACATCGGGAATGAAAAATAACACAAATAAACATCTAGTTCGTGAACTAGGAAAATCACATTATAGCCTCAAACAGTCTCCACGAATTTGGTTTAACAAGCGTGTCAAGACTATGCAATCAAACGAGTACATCCAATGTTAGGCTGATCATACACTGCTCATAAAGCATACACAGGGAGGTAAAAAAACTATACTCATTGACTATGTAGATGGTATGATCCTAACAGGTAACGATGAAAAAGAAATTGGGAAAATTAAGGAGGTTCTTGCCGCTGAATTTAAGATTAAGAATTTAAGAGTGATGAGATAATTTTTGTGGATGGAAGTGGTCGAGTTCAAGATGTACATCCTAGACCTACTAAAAGAAATAGGAATGTTGGGGGAGCAAACATGCTAAGACTCGAATGGATTTCAATAAAAAGTTAAATTCAACGGAAAAAAAAAGATACCACTGAAATATGTTAGATATCAGAGATTGGGGGTAAACTTATCCATATTTCACATGCTAGACCCGATATTTCTTACTCTGTCGGCATTATGAGTCAACATATTAACATTTCAAATAAAGAAGACATCATGGAGATAGAGGTTTTTTTTCCTGAAAATTTGCATTTTGATTACTATATCAAAAAGTACAAAAAACTATGCATGTATGCATCCATGATGTACAAAAAAGAGACCTATCATCTAAAAGTATGTTAGAAAACTCTCTATCATCATCTTCATGCATGGAAATGGAGGCTTTCACTGATGCTAGTTGGGCAGGAGAACTTATGGAAAGAAGATCCACTTTTAAGTATCATCCTATGTATGGGAAAGTCTTGTCACATGGAGAAGCAAGAGGAAAGCAGTGGTCTCCAAAAGTAGTGTATAATCTGAGTATCGGCCACTCATGTATACAATATGAAGTAACTTTAACCCAAAAAAAAATGTTCAGCAATTCTTTTCCAATCTTTTTAGTTGATGGGTTATGCAGCAACATCAATGCGAAGTTACGAAAATGGACTTGATCTTTCTACAAAAATAAAAATGTAGCTTTACGATATTAGTAACAATTAACATAAAACTCCAACTAAAACAACAAAAAATATAATAAAAATTTAACAAATCAATCAAATCTCAAATGAATGTTGATTTTTGTTATCACAAATCATTGATGATAGAAACCTACAGAACTAACCATTACAGATGCTAAAAGTGCATCGTTCATAAAAAATAAGGGAAACTCAACTTAAATGTCAAACCAGATCATTATATAGAACAAAAATCCAGAGATATTTGCATATAGAAAATGTAGCCCTAGAAAAACAAAAACCAATGAATTTTCAACAAAATCCATCAAATTTCAAGCGCTTTCTTGATTGTTGTTATAAAGCATCATTGCAAACAAGTGCCTCGTAAATAAAACTGCCTTCTTAAGTAACATATAGAATACTCCAAAAATAATTATGAAGAATATTATTACTTCTAGCGAAAGATGGATAGACAATAGCCTTGAGAGACTCGACGCAGGAAAAAAAGGACCACCTTATAAAAGGAGTAGGATGACTGAATTCCCATCGCACAACATTACACCATTGGTTTAGCTTCAATGGCAAATCTCTGTGGCCCCTTATCCATTTGGAAAAATATGGATACATCACAGTCTCACTTGTTGGACGAATGGCAATAGGTACTTCCAGATCACTTTGGCCAGACTTAGTAACCCAGGCAACCTGTGAAAAAACAATAAAGGTGGTGTACTATCCCAAATTAAATCTAAACTCGGTTAGAATTACAGAACCTCAAAAGTAAGAAAAGCAAAATCTATCGCACCCCATTTCCCAACACCTACCACAATCATATGTTTAATAATTAAAGAGCATATAAAGCATTTTGAAGGATAAAAGCAGAATTAATAAACCAAACTGGTGGTTAAAGTATAACAAATTTGAACTCATTTCGTATCCAGCTTTGGGCTGGTAGCATAAGCAAATAAATTTGCATTTAGAACGAAATCAGGAGTCAATAGCAATCCCATATATTTACAGCCATCAGTTGAGATCAAAATGTACTCTAGTACAAAAAAAATAATAATAAAAATTAAACTAAATAGTAAGAAAATGTACTATGATACAAGGATGGTTTGTGATAAATGTATACACGAATTTAGCTCGACTACCGTGGCCTCGAATTTCAAAATGGGTACACATATGGCTAAAATTATTCTTTAGATTGTAGCTGCTAATATTCATACCAATGATTAAAATTATAAAAAGCTTATTTTGACTGTTTGCTTGTCTGGAGCACCACACCAGCATTGTAAACTTGAAATTTCAAGAATAAATGTGCTAAGCCTGACTAAATTTTCACCGGTTTTCCAGATTCCTGCTTTTGTCTGAGGGAGACTAAGTTATCACAGGCAATAAAAATTTAAGGGATTGTTTAGCAGCTTATAGTATTTAACTCAAGTAAAATTTAATGAGTACCAAATAATCAGGAAAAATCCTAAGTGGTTGAATGTTAAAAATTATTTGGAATGACAGATGTTAAATCCAATAAATCCTGTAAAACTATATAGCAATATCTTTTGGGACTTAAGTCTCTTATTTTATTATGATTTTAATATCAAATATTGCTGATGTAATTATTCAGGATTTTTTAACTTTTAAAATCTTCTAATTGTAGTAAATATTAATTGTTAATTTACTGCGCTAATTAATTATTAAGTAGAATTTCAAAAATATAATTAATCAAAATCTAATAATTTGCTATTCATTAGTTAGCAAAAAGATAATTGTAAATCAAAAATGTGCCCGCGCATATCTCGAAGATATCTCACGGCCAGCAAAAGAGGTAACGTGGCATCTTGGGACCCACCAAAGATGACCCGGGACGGCAAGCATATCCGGCCAGCTCCTGTGTACTGAGAGGACGGCACTTTCTGGGAGGAATAAAAGTGGATTATCTCCCAAAGAATCTAGCTGATCGGATGCACACGGGCGAGCTCAGCGCCCTCTACCCTGGCCAGGCCAAGTGAGCAGGACATACTGTCTGATTCCAGAGCAGTTGGCATTGGTCAGCAAGTGGTCGTCCGGTCTAACGGCAGTCCGGCATAACGGACTAGCGGCAGTCAGAGCAGTTGGCAGTCCGGCATAACCGGTCCAATGGTCGCCTAGCCGTCCAGTCACTTTCAACTGAACATCCATGGACGTGAGCCCCACCATCCATAAATTTGACCCGGGCGGAGATGTCAGGGATAACGGTTGAGGTCACCTGTCAGTGACTGAACGTGAGCCCCACCATCCGGTCGGCCAAACAGAAGAAGAGGAACTCGGCAACTGTGATGGTCAGGCCCATCAGAAAGGAGCTGTTAGACCTGAAGGAAACGGGTTACATATGGGAAGTGCAATACCCCATTTGGGTTTCAAACGCCGTCATGGTCCAAAAAGCAAACAAGAAATGATGGATGTACATCTACTTCACGAACATAAATGTCGTATGCCCGAAGGAATGCTACCGACGGTCGAGGATCAAAATTTTTGTGGACGGAACCCTGGATCATTCCGTGATGAGCTTCCTGCACGCTTCCTCCAGCTATCACCAGATCAAGATGCACCTGACAGACGCTAAAAAAACGTCTTTATCACAGCCACAGGCATTTTTT